GATGCTAAGGAGTCTGGCAGGTCTAGGGATGCCTTAGGTAGCGTCTTGCACCATGGCTTTTCTTTACCCCGCTGCTAGATTTATTTTTTTTAGATGCTAAGGAGTCTGGCAGGTCTAGGGATGCCTTAGGTAGCGTCTTGCACCGTGGCTTTTCTTTACCCTGCTGCTAGAATCACAGAATAGAGGCAAATGAACAAAAAACATAGATAAAAAACACAAAAAGACAGAAATTAAATTAAATATCAACCACAAGGAGGCAAACAAATCCAAGGAAACTGCTGGACATCGCTGCTGAGGACGACTGAGGAGGTCAAACCTAAACCCTAAAGGAGAAAAAGAAGGTAGAGAGATGACGCTTGGTGGGGCTAATTGATTTAGACCAGTTAGAGGCAGAGGACAGGACTGATGTAGGGATTTGAGTTGTGAAGCACCGACTGTTAGAAACTGCTTTCCGATGTGACTTGGTCTAGTTTTAGATGTTCCTCTGGTTAGTTAGTTTTCAGGCCTAGTTTGAGGGAAAAGAACCCTCTGCAGAAATATTCTCCATATCATCTAGGCATTTTCCCGACCGCAGTGGATCTCTTTTGTGTTTTTTGAATCCCATGTTGGACCGAGCCTCTCCAAGCTTTTGGGCCATCAGAAGTCTGATGAATCTGCAGCGACCAAACCACGGGGATCATCGAGCTGCTGACCTTCACAAAGAGTGGGAGCATGTTCAGTAAGGAGCAACAATAATCCATCATTTAAATATAAAGTTAACATTTCAGGTGGCCTCACTTAATTTTTCATGTATGTTCAGACACTGTGGACTTCCAAAAGCAGAAGTCCTGTGAGGAACCGGGACATCCAGGATGGTGAGGTGCTTTCCAGTCCCCACCTGAGGACGGCACAGAGAAAGACTGGAACAGAAAACACACGGAGTAAGACTTTATTAACACGACAAACCCACAACTCAAGCTTCCCAGGCCTGATCAAAAGCTAACAGTCATTGAAACACAGAAAGACCAAGATTATAATGAAAACAACATCCTGCCCCAGATTTCAACTTGGTGTCGAGGAAATTCTGTAGATTAATTTGTCTTATTTTTTTCAGGGAAAGCAGGTTGAACATGGAAGCAGTGTTCTAGCAGTCGGATCACATTGGAAAAGAATCCATCCACATGTGTTTGGAGGTATGTTGGTTGTTGTTTGACTAGAGAAGCATCGCATGCAGACAGGTTAAGACTGTGAGGATGCTTTGCTTTCATTTATGAAGGAGCTGAAGAAGAGGATGGAGCACACAGACCGCTAAGGAGAAGAAACATGGCTCCTCTATTTGTCTCTCCAACGTTCTGGAGTCTGAAAAACGTTGACGACCCCGCAGCTAAACTATCAGTCTGCTCCACCCAGTAGAAGAAGGTAATGAACCTTTATTGCTTCCAGATGTTCATCAGTATTGGTGAAGATAGTAAAAATCGATCCAGAACAAACAGATACAAAAGCTTCAACCATCCCATCAAGGTGGTCTAACCTTTAATCTTTATCTTTCCATCATGAGTGGATGTTCACCTCTATTTGCATCTCTGTAACCAAACCTTTACCAGAATCAGAAGTTCTGACTTTTCCATTAAACCACAGATAAACGGTTAAGAAGCAGCTTCTGATCCAATATGGGAGAATTTCCCCCTGATTGATCTCTGAAGGTTTTTTTTTAGAACTTATTAAAGCAGAGAAACGACCGACTGAAGACTCCAACAAATGCAGCATTTTCAGGCATTTTCTCCAAGCATCCATTGTTTACAGTTATTATAGTTACAGTTTACAGTTAACTTTAGGTTCACCCTGTGTGTTTCCCTCTTCTCTTGGTTAAAGTTACATTTCTCTCAGTGTTTATGTGTTTAAATGTCACAGACTAGCGTGTTTGTTCACTAACTCCTGTTCTTCTTTTTCAGATGAGGTCATCTGCTCCTTGGACCGGCGCCTCTGTCTCTGTCAGACGTCTGCTGTCCTGTTAAAGACCCGCTCAGCCGCAGTAGAGGGGAGCTGACATGGAACCGGGGTCTGCTGGAGGTTCCTTCCTGCTTAAAGCTGGTTTTCCTCTCCACTGTCTCCTCATTGCTCAGGAGGAGGCACTGCAGCAAAATTAACGACTGTCTGTGATTGGCTGAGCTTCCTTGGGTTGAAGACATTTCTCTGAATGCCACGATAAGCTGAATTTATCTTCACCATGTTGTAAATAGGATCTAATTGGATATTTGTGTTTAGATTTGGTTCTGTGTTTGTGTTGACTTCTGTTACATGTTTCTGTATTAAAATTGTCATGTTAATTGCCTTTAGATGACATTTTCTGTGACTTGTTTCTATTTTAAGACTGATTTATATTAAATCCCCTTACTGCACAGGCGTCAAAGTCATTCCAGAAAGGGCCGTGTGGCTGCTGGTTTTCTTTCCACCCAAGCAGTAGCACACCAGACTCCATTCATCTCATCAAGGTGAGTCTAGTCTTAACCTGATGACTTGATGGGATGAACGGAGTCTGGTGTGCTACTGCTTGGATGGAAAGAAAACCAGCAGCCACACGGCCCTTTCTGGAATGACTTTGACACCCCTGCCTTACTGGGTCTGGTTCTGTTGAAGTATGCTTCCTGTCGTTCTATCTTTACCTGTTATTTCTCACTATAATAAAGGTTTGATTGCAGTAATGTGAACAGGATCTGTTTGTATTTTCTGGTAAAGTGTCTTGAAATAAGTGGTTGTAAATTGATTCTTTATAAATAAACCAAACTGAAGTCAAATGGAGCAAGAGTCCTAATATTACTATAGTACAGCGCTTTGGCAGATTGGTGGTTATTATTGTTTCTCTGTTGGGGGGCCTGACCTGACAGCTCATGTTAACAGAACAATTGTTCTTGTCACTTTGCAGTGTCAAAACAAATTAGCTCTAAAAAAAGGACAGTGAGACGTTCCTCCTGCAGTTCTTCTCATTTTATTGACCTTATAGACAATCTGGGAGTTTAGCAGCAGAGCAGACAGTAAACATCAACACTGAGCCATACAAAGAACAACAAACAAATATGGGAGGATAATTAAAGATTAATGTTAAAATAAAACAGTAAAAGATTCAATCAACTAGGACGATAGCAGGAACTAAATGTTTAATGAACCCAAAAGCAAACAGCTTTGGTTAATTAGAATAAAACTTGGTTTTAAGGTGATTTTCTCTTCTTTAAACTCTACATTTATATCTCTTCCATACTTGGTCCCTCAGGGTTGCATTGCTCACTCCTTTTAGCAGACACCAACTAGTTAATGATTCAGGCTCCTATTCTATCAGAGGAAAATGGATTTAAATGGATTGATGATCCTAAACTCACATTTAAACTGGTTTTGGAATAGATAAAGCAGCTTTAAATGAACATCTGGAACCTCGGCCATTGTCATGTCTGGATGATCACGTTTAAGGCTACGTTCACACTGCAGGCATTAATGCACAGTTCTGATTTTTTTTTAGGAAATCTGATTCTTTTGCGTGGTTGATCTCATTTCCAAATATGCAATCTCAAGTGTGAACTGAATTCATTCAACTTAAGTGTCTTAAGGGAGCGTGTTCTGTGTTTACGAAAGTAAACATGGAAGGTAGAGCAGGAGCGCATTTAAAATCTTTAATTTCTTTCCCAGCCTCAGCCAGCGCATTAACAACACAATCTTTTCAAGATGGTTGAAAATAAAGAATGCTCTCCGCATTATCTTCCGCCATGGTTGTTTTTCCTGCTGTTGCTACATAGCAAGATGCAGAATAGTGACTTTAGTCCAGTATTAATGGCATACAGATCAGATGAATGGGTAAGATTTGACTGAGTATCAATACTTTTACTCAAGTACTACAGTTGAATACTTCATCCAACACAGCATGTATGTAATGACAACTATGCTTACCAACTTAAAACTCTTGAAGTTATTTTGCTAGTAGGAAGAAGAGTACAGCCTCAAAAGGCGGGATTTCCTGAAAAGTAGCCATTCACAGCCGGGTTGCTTTGTCCGTTGGGTAACGTCTTCAAAGAGACAATAGTTCACACGAGCACAAAAAACAGATCCACACGTGAGAAAGGGAGGCTGTGCACGAGGATATCAGACCACCAAGTTTGATGTTGAGATGATTCTGCCACTAGAGGGTGCTACTGCTGCTGTTGGTGAGACGCATCACTTTCACTTCCTGTTTTGACTACTGAGCAGTGTTTTTGCTCTTCAGGCTATCTCCGTTTTTCCTCTCCACTGTCGCTACAAGCATGCTTGGTCTGAGGGATTGCATTCGAGTCAGTGAGTCAATGCAATCAGCTGGTTTTCCTTAGACAGAAAACTTTGAATCAATTTGATTGGATGATCCGGTGAACTGGAAAGTGACTGGAGATGACATGTCGTGAATTGGCGCTATATAAATAAACTGAATTGAACAAGTCTGTTTAGAAGGAACAAGCACTCGTGTGAGATATATGGGGCCCTGTGGTATTTAAGCATGTAACGTAGCATGTTCAAAAATGCTTGTTATGCCTCTTAACCTACCGTACGCTCCATTTATCATTTCATCGTCACACAGAGCCTTTGCTTTGCCCTTTAGGAGCTGATTGAAACACGCATTTAAAACATTAAATTAGACGCAGACATATGTACAAAAAGACGCTGCCAGTAAAATATACAAGAGTCTTTAGTAAAAAGTTTAAAACATAGAAAAGCTGTTGTATAAAAGAAGGCAGTGATGCATCCATCAGTCTCCTGCAGTTCATTTAAAGGTCAAATCTCGTCTCTGTCCATTTGATCTCTTGGCAGCAGGTTTCATTAAGCTCACGCTCAATTACTTTTGATCAAACAGATTCATGAGATCCAGGTGGAGGTGCAGCAATGCGGGGCTTACGGTCTCTTCCTTTCCATTATCTCTAATGACACAGAGAAGCCGGAGCAGAACGGTTCTGTGTGTCCGACAGCAGTGGTTCAGTCTGGGACTCTGATCTCTACAGGTAGTTAGAGGTCGCAAAGCAGTGGCTGACTCGGCTCTGGTGGATCATGGCGCGGTCGTACGCCACCTGTACAGACTTTTGGATGCTGGACTTGCGGCCCTCCATTATGCGTAACTTGTCAGCTGTGTCATCCACTCCCAGAGGGGTCACTATTTAATAAAAAACTTAATCTTTTTTCTTCCTTAGTAAATGTCCTAGCAACTAAGATGAATTAATGAATATAAATGAATGGTGTTAAAGTTAAAATTCTCCACCAGCACTATTTTAGAGGAGACTAAAAATATTTAAAAAAAATTCCTTGTCCACCTTATTGTTTCATAGAGGTGTGCTTTTTAAACCATGAACTAAGTTCTTTTCTATCTGCCCCAGAATCAGCCCGCCATTTTGACCCGGGAGCAGAAATACACTGTAGACAGGATGGTTGAGGCTCATCGCCAGTTTAGGGAGCAAGACAGCAGCAGTTACAGGGTAGGTATGTGTCCAGACTTTAGGTTTACCACCTGTTATGATGTTCTCATGTTGTTCTCATGCTGGCAGGTCTCTGAATGGCAGTGTGCTCTGGAGGGGGCGGGGCTGCCTGATGTTTTATCCCCACACCTAAACAGACTGCTGCAGTTTGCAAGAACAGTACCAGGTGAGGTGGATGGAAATCTTTACTCATTGACATTAACCATTTGTCCGTTTTGTATTTTATTAAAGGATAAATCTGTTGAATTCTCTCTTTCCGGTCAAATTATGTAAATATCAAATGACTGTTCTGAATCTCTGTCCTGATTATTGGTGTGACTCATTTAACTTCAGGTTAGGATTTCTCTGTGATTATGTTACCTAGTGTGTGTGTCCCAGTGTTACTTGTTACACATAGAGGTTTCTGGTAGCAATTAAATCTCATAACATGGTGATATCGTTTTGGTACATTTAAATTCAGAATTGATGTCTGGTTGATATAAAAACGCATGAAAATGTGGAAACGCTCCTCAGTCCTGCTGTTAGGTATGATGGAGGATCTGTAATGCTGTGGGTCTGTTTGTCAGAGATACAAACATGTGCAATCCCAGTTTGTGGAGAAGATATTTTAATATATCTTTTTTGTAGGTAGTTTATGAAGCAACTCAAGTTAAAGGATGAAAAGAGATTAGCATCTCCACTCATGGGAAATCTCTGATTGCTTGGTAGCAAGTAGACAATTTAATCATGGAATAAGATTAATTACATTTAAAATAGAAATAGGAAAAAGAAACTCCATTTTATTATTTCAAGTGCATAATACCTATCTAATTTTATCTAATTTTAAGGGCAGAAATATTCATTCCATTGACGGATAATCCTATTTACCAACTCCAAAAAAAGGGAAATACACTTAATTGAAAAAAAAGATTTAATTTTCTTTTTTTCATTTTTCTGTTTAAACTTTTGCAGTTTAATGCTACGAATGGCAACTTCTCTTATTACCCCTAATAAAAAAAAAAACACAAGATGGAGCTGTTTACAATTTTATTACATTTTTTCATTTAAAAGAACAACAAAAAAAAACAACCAAATAAATATTCTCAGTTAGTAAAATAAATAAAGGTGAATGGTGAATGTGCTTGAATTAAAGGGTAGGTTGATTCAAAGGTTCTTCCATGTTTTGTTTGCTGCTATAAAAGACATTGATCTAAAGGGTTTGTAAAAATCTTCACCAGGAACACCAAAGAATGTGGCCTCATGGTGTTTGCAGGTGCATAAACTGTGTTTGGTATTAAGGGCATTAATCTGGTTGTTTTAGTTTGATAATCATTTGGAAGATCATGGTGATTTGGTGATCATTTGACTGTTTCTGATGAAAAAAAGCTATTTGTAGAAAACAGTCAGGTAAGGAATCACCTCCACATTTAGGCAGTGTTCTTTTTTTTAAATCCCAATGAGAGGTCCACATTTCATTCCTATTTTTGTAGATTAAAGTTAAATGTCTAAGAATCTGCATGCTTGTGCTCTGTCACCCAGGTTTTGATCTCCTGGATTTCTCCGACCAGATGGCCCTCCTGTCCGTTTCCTCTCTGGAGGTCATGTTTCTGCTCTCTGCCCAGCAGTTCTCCAATAACCCTGCAAGCCCCACTCCAGGTAAAGGGAGAAAACTAAAACTAAAATAAAGACAAAAACACGGTTTTAGAAAATACACCCGTTTGAATCTAACAGCCCATCACTGTATGTTCAGTTTTGCAGCTTTTCACCACTTCCTCGCATGGCTAGCTCAGAAATCTGGAGCCCAGGGAAAACTTCCAGATGAGGACGTCCGTCGGTTCAGGTGAGCTCCTATTCATTGTAGAACATTTTACCCCGGTTTGAGTGTCATTGATTTGTACTTACCATATTTTGCCACCAGGGGGCACTGTTAAACGCAAACTTTCCTCATATATTCTTGATATTCTTCTCCTCATTACTTTTATCTCCCCTCTTCTTCCTCTTGGATCCACTGTTTTTTCATTTTTGAATTCCGCCTTTCCTCCAATATAATTACCTTTTGTACTTGATTCAATGGATCATTAGACGTGATATACTGAGTTCAATTATCATGTTTATGCACTTTTTTCTTGTTTGTGTTTCTCACCACCAGTTTTGCATGTTTAGGATGTAATTTTAGTTTCTTATGCAGCTTTTTTTCCCCATTCACTGGAATAGAAGGAGGTTGTTTGTACTATACATCTTATTTCTGCCAGTTAGCCCAGTTATTTTCATCCTGTTTCATGCACCCATTGGTTATTGTTTTTACAAACTTGTTCTTTGATTGATTGATTGACTTATTGATCTCAAAGTGGAAAAATTTACTTGTTACATCAGCTCAAATAGTCAAAGAGGAAGAATGTGCCAAAAGAAGAAAAATGTGCATTGGAAATATACAGTATGCACAGTGTGTCCACAGTTTTGTTTTTTCAGGAGGATTATTACACTATATATTACTATATATAATATATTTTCTATATATTGCATAGGGTGTTTACACAGGTATTTATATTAATTCATATTTATGTTTTTATATATAATTATTGCACTGAGTGTCAAATATAGAGAAACAGTTATTGCACAGGGTATTAAATGGTAAACTGCAGATTATACATTGCACAAGTTATTGCCATTGTAGTGTCACATTGTAGAGTCTGGTTGCAGTTCTGATTCTCTGGTTCTGATTTTCCTTTTCCTTACTTGTTGATGTTTGTCAAACTTTCTGTAAATGTGTTTTTCTTTTTTTCTCAAAGTATGTCTCACTATTCTTCCTTTGATTTATTTCATTACTCATCTTACCAGCCTCCTCTTCTCTTTTGACCCATTTCCAGCCCTCTGTCTAACCCTGCTTCATTCCTCCTCTCTACGGTTTTCTCATGTTATCTCATCATCCCTCCTTTCCATCTCTGTCACACATCAAACCTTGCAGACATAGGAGGAGAGAAGTGGCTAGGAGTGTGTGTGTGTGTGTGTGTTTATGAGAAAATGAGAGGGACAGAGAGAGAGAGGGGGCATATTAAAGAGCACGCCAAACAGAGGACAAGCTGTGGCAGCAGCTTTTTTCCTCTGAGCTGCGGACAACCTGCAGGACAGACCGTGTCTGTCTACTAAAAGCCAAGGACTATATTTGACTTCTTCTAAACCAGTTTTGACCCTGAAACCACTTTAAGTCCAAAGAGGACTACAGAAGCTTTATTGAAGGAGGAACAAAACCTAATCAACTATTTTCATTTTCACATTTCAGGCAAACTTGGATCCTCTTTTTTCTTTCAAAAATCAAGAAGAAAATAAGGCTGAAGGGAAACTAAGAGGGATAATTCACTGTACATCTGACTGAAAGAGCAGCCTTCTTTCCTGACAACTTTTCCAAGCCAAAGAGAACAAAACAGACAAAAACAAAATCTGCTCAGGAACAGCGGAACATGTCTTTAAATAATTACTAAATATAAAGGATATAGAGGACTCAAATGAAGACACAGCAAGAGGAGGACAGCTTCTGCAACCCTGCCATGCTTTTGGATATTTGTTCTTCATTTTCAGGTCTGGGCAAATAAAGACAAAACAAAACAAGAGAGAAGCAAAGGAAGAATTTCATCTTGGAGGAAAATCAAAATACTTTTCCACTGGTGATTCTTTTAACACCAAGAAAAATAAGTAAAACATAGAATTCAGAGGCTCAAATGAGAAGTTATTAAAAACTAGAGGCAAACAGATAACAAATCAAGGAAAATAGGACCTCAGGAACTGGAATGTAAAAGAAGAAATAGTCAAAAATAAAGCACAGATTTCCCCAGAATTTACAAAGAAAAAAAGGCATCCTAATCATGAAGCTTCTCAGGTTTTTTGCAACTCTTTGCTCCGTTATCTACCCTGTGCAGCCTGTGGCCCCCCCGAGCAGCGTGGCCCTCAGTCGGCTGGACCGCTGGGTGCGCTCTGGCCTCCAGGTGTTGCAGTGGGACCAGCTGGACCGCTGCCTCCGGATGTCCTCCATGTCTGAAGCGGACTGCAGACGGCTCACCCACCTGACGCCGTCGTCTGTGGCCGTGTATATGTCCGAGCAGCACGCCGCCGCAGGTAGGATGAAATGGGGCCCATCATACTGTCCTACTGTCACAGCAGAGCAGTTCATATTTACACATATTTTATGTTTTAAAGCTTTTAAGCCTTTTTTTATATTGTAAAATTGAATTTAAAATGTATATTTTTTTGATCAATTATTTCTTCTAGATTCTCTAATTGATCTGTTGATCAATTAGATCGAAGATTTATACATTTTGGTTCTAATGGTCTAATTTTTACACGCTGTTTTAGTTTTAACAAAAAATGTAATGAAGTTACTAATCTCCATTTCTCCATGATTTTAAATTATATCCATTATACTTTATTCTAGTTGTTGTATATCAATTCATTCATTGAGTCAGATTTCCTTTTTTGGGAGACATGGCTTAATTTTTTTCTCTCGGTTAAGCTTTTTTAAAGGTTGTATTGTTACATGTATTACTGTGAAAATGGTCAGTTAAAGCTAAATAGGGATCGTACAGTAGACTTTCACTCCTTTCCTAGAAGTACAACTTTAATATTTTACATCTTAGTTTCTATTTTCAAGTCTCATTTATTCATTTGAACTCCTTTTTTGTGTGTTTGAAACATGTAACTTGCTGGTTATGGGGTGGTTATAGGGTATGGATATAAGGCTTGGTTATAGGGAGTGGTTAAAGGAATAGTACACCCAAAACATGATTAGCCTTCATTTTCTACTCACCCCCATGCTGAACAACACTCTGGAGTACCTTTTTGATATCTCAAATGCATCTGGAGATCTGGGAGGCTTCTTGCTGTCTGCTGACATTCAAATAATGGAGGTCTATAGCGCCCGAGGCAGAAAGGTCCATAAAAGTCCACAAAAAACGTGTCAATATTCCTCCATACTGCTCGTCCAATGTATTCCAAGTGTCCTCAGTGGGTAGCGTCCATAATTTACTCGAAAAGAAGTCATTTAGAATGTTTTTAGAGCATAAATAGTAGTGTATAGGATTTCCTAAAAGTGCGTTCACGAGTCTACGGAAACCGCGGCAGACCAAACCAGATGAAAGTGCGCATTCAGCGTCTGCTCTGCCAATAATGCAAGCGTAGAAGAAGAAATGTGCTGTTTACCTGTGCAAAGAAAGAAACAACGAAAGGAAAATGTCTGAGGACTTCAGTGTTGAGGAAGAGCACGAGTTCTTTGCAGAGCTGAATGCGCACTTTCATCTGGTTTGGTCTGCCGTGGTTTCCGTAGACTCGTGAACGCGCTTTTAGGAAATCCTATACACTACTGTTTATGCTCTAAAAACATTCTAAATGACTACGTTTCGAGTAAATTATGGACGCTACCCACTCAGGACACTTGGAATACATTGGACGAGCAGTATGGAGGAATATTGACACGTTTTTTGTGGACTTTTATGGACCTTTCTGCCTCAGGCGCTATAGACTTCCATTATTTGAATGTCAGCAGACAGCAAGAAGCCTCCCAGATCTCCAGATGCATTTGAGATATCAAAAAAGTACTCCAGAGTGTTGGTCAGCATGGGGGTGAGTAGAAAACGAAGGCTAATTATGTTTTGGGTGTACTATTCCTTTAAGCCAGGCATACACTGTTTGATTTTTTTCAATCGTTGCAAGCAGCTACGCTCACACTGTACGAATATAAGGGTTTCGTGGTACAGTGTGAGTTTGCAGCTCACGATGTCTGTGCAGCATGACGCTCTGATGCGATCTAGCTGCTCACACTGTATGTCTAAAAACCATGTCGGACTCAGCTCCGCAGTGAGAGGGCGCTACTCAGACTCGTCTATCTAGGAGCCAAACCAGTAGAAGAGGAATATGAAGCTCACTAGAGTGAAACGCGCTGCCTTGGTAATTTGTGCAATTTTGTGCTGAAAGCCCTAAAAAGAAAAGGGGACGATGTATTTGGACAAAGACATGGCTGAGCAAACGTGGCTACTACTGTCTGTCAATTTTACAGAAAGAAATCCATTTCACCCGCCATAATTCTGTGTTTTCATCTGAAAGGAAGAAGAAGAATAATCCTTGTTTTTGCACTAAGCAGTTAGCCCACGATGGTTGACTGAAAATCAAACATGTCGGATTTTTTCCTGACCTCACAATTCCTGATCAGGAGATGGTCGTGAGAAGCTGGTCGTCCCTTGTTACCCCTTGTACACTGCACGACACACGATGTACAATCAGGGTGAAAGTCAGCCCGATCGGAAAATTCTTGCACAACTGGAAAGTCGACCCGAAAAGGGCAAAATCGCACAGTGTAAGCCCGGCTTTATAAGGTGTGGTTATAGGTTGTGGTTATAGGGCTTGGTTATAGGTTGTGGTTATAAGGTTTGAGTATAGGGCTTGGTTATAGGGTTTGGTTATAGGGTTTGGTTATAGTTGGTGGTTATAGGTTGTGGTTTTAGGGCTTGGTTATAGGTTGTGGTTAAAGGTTATGGTTATAGGTTGTGGTTTTAGGGCTTGGTTATAGGTTGTGGTTAAAGGTTGTGGTTATAGTGTTTGGTTAAAGGGCTTGGTTATAGGTTGTGGTTATAGGGTTTGAGTATAGGGCTTGGTTATAGGGCGTGGTTAAAGGTTGTGGTTATAGGGCTTGGTTATAGGTTGTGGTTATAGGGTTTGAGTATATGGCTTGGTTATAGGGCGTGGTTATAGGGCTTGGTTATAGGGCTTGGTTATAGGGTTTGGTTATAGGTGGTGTTTATAGGTTGTGGTTTTAGGGCTTGGTTATAGGTTGTGGTTAAAGGTTGTGGCTATAGTGTTTGGTTAAAGGGCTTGGTTATAGGTTGTGGTTATAGGGTTTGAGTTGTATAGGGCTTGGTTATAGGGCGTGGTTATAGGGCTTGGTTATAGGTGGTGGTTAAAGGTTGTGGTTATAGGGCTTGGTTATAGGTTGTGGTTATAGGTTGTGGTTATAGGGTTTGAGTATATGGCTTGGTTAAAGGTTGTGGTTAAAGGTTGTGGTTATAGGGCTTGGTTATAGGTTGTGGTTATAGCGTTTGGTTATAGGGCTTGGTTATAGGTTGTGGTTATAGGTTGTGGTTATAGCGTTTGGTTATAGGGCTTGGTTATAGGTTGTGGTTATAGGTTGTGGTTATAGGGTTTGAGTATATGGCTTGGTTATAGGTTGTGGTTATAGGGTTTGAGTATAGGGCTTGGTTATAGGGCGTGGTTATAGGGCTTGGTTATAGGTTGTGGTTATAGTGTTTGGTTATAGGGCTTGGTTATAGGTTGTGGTTATAGGGCTTGGTTATAGGTGGTGGTTAAAGGTTGTGGTGATAGGGCTTGGTTATAGGTTGTGGTTATAGGGTTTGAGTATAGGGCTTGGTTATAGGGCGTGGTTATAGAGCTTGGTTATAGGTGGTGGTTAAAGGTTGTGGTTATAGGGCTTGGTTATAGGTTGTGGTTATAGGGTTTGAGTATAGGGCTTGGTTATAGGTTGTGGTTATAGGACTTACATCATGCTCTTGTTTCTCTCGATATATTACTGGTCCTGACTAATTCCTTTTTGTTATTATGCAATTATTTAATTTCATGCTATTTATCTGTATAGTGCAATTTCACAACACTTGTCATTTTAAGGCACTTTACAATACAGCTCAATAGCAACATTCTGCTCTCCATCTTTCTAGGTCCCTTCAACAAAGTCCAGGCCATCCTGCCTGACTTTTCCAGTGGGATGCTGAGTTCCAAGCTGAGAGGAAGTTTCAACGTCGGACGAATGCTGAACAGAGCTGACGGTTCACATAGACTCCACCAGCCCCTCTATAGTTCCTCTGCCCATGATGTTGTGATGGTGCTGGATCCAAGCCCAGGAGAGAACTTTGGACACCCCGTCTTCCTCTTTTATTTGGACATGAATGTGACCAAGAAGAGATGTTCCCACCTCGATGGTATTAACCTGGGTGAGTGTTGGAACCTATGCCCTTCATCCCTGTTAATTAACTGTCATTATACTGGTGAAGAATCTTAGTCATCCAGGTCATAGTCATTCCAAAAAAGTTAAAAAAGACAATCCACTAGACTTTGTTTCCAAGTTTGAAGATGCTTCGCTTCCCATCCAGGAAGCTTTTTCAATTCAAAATGCCAGAAATAGCATTAAGTACAAGGTTTTATTCAGTAGCCCAACAAAGCCTTGTTTTTGTTTAGATAACATTGCAACCCCAGCCCCATTGCTGGGGAAAAGAAAACCTCGCCTATTCAGCCAGGTCAACAATTCCCTTTAAGGACACCCCTTTCAGAGGTATGGGGCATTGCAGGCTAACAAAACCAAAGGGGTGTTGAGTTCGTCCGTTTCAATGTGCATCTTTTCTAAACAAAAACAAGGCTTTGTTGGACAAACTCGAACTAAACGCTGTTCTTGACTTTTTGAATGTCAAAAACAGCATTTTGTCCTGGAGTAGAAAAGCCTCAGTGTAGATCTGTTTCTAAGTTTACATCTCTGGAGAGATCTGAAACAAGTGTAGATGTTTCTCATTCAATAAGAGGGAGCTTGAAATATTGTAAAGAAGAATGGGCCATAGAGCCCAAAGGTACGTTTGTTACGCTTTTGCTCTTTACATTTAAAGACACCGTTGACAGGATACCTATTTGTTGAGCTTTCAGAAGCCTTATCTTTAAAGAAGAAAGCCAGAATAAAGTATAACATAGGAGGGCTTGTTATCACTTCTATAGCCATGCAGGGGGCACAATAAATGTAAGAAGATGAGCTCAAAATGTTATCTATGTTTTGAAAATGCTATTTATGGTGGAAAACTGGACAGAACACACCAGCATCACGAGATACCATGGTAGGTTCCTTCCTTCTCCTTCACCAAGGAGAAGGAAGCAGGTCAGAGTTTTGGGGAAGTTAGATGAAGCTAAGTACCTGGCAATTCTCAAGGCAGAACCTGCTAGAGGCTGCAAAGGTAGGGGTTCTTTGTAATATATTTTGTAGACTTTTCATGAAAGAGTTTCCAAGTGCATTAGGTGAGAACCTCCCTCTCATTCAATTGTAAACAATAGTTAATGGGAATCAAAATGAAGAAAAAAAAAAACATCCACTGCACTCAGTAAAAACAATTTAACATAATGTTTGTTTCCCCTTTCCGCATGTATTATATGAGCATATATTAAAGTTAGCCATGGAGAAGCTGTAAATGTCAAATGGAAATCACTTCCTAGTTTTTAACCTGAAAACAGCTATTGAGATCCACGTGTTTGAACTTAATAAATCAACTATTTTATCTCTCACTCTTTTCAGGTGGTTTCTTACACATTAAACCTAGAGGTGAGCCTTTAGTACCCAGCCGCCATAAAACCTCTCTTATAAGACTGGACTGTATGACAAGTAGGACACCTAGGACACGCTAATGTGGACACACAAAGCATCTAAAAGGCTTCAGGTGTAGTTGTGACTGTTTCAGCTTCAGTTGTTGCTGATTATGAATACAAAATCTGCATATAGGATGAAAAAATCTCTACTTAGAATGTAAAGCCCTGCTTTAATCACATAGAAAAGAAAATATAACAACTTGTAGAGGATCAGGTTGCTTTGATTAAAGTTTACCTGATATGTTTGACTATTTTTCTTTCACTTAGACCAGTTGGAAGTGTGAAAGTTTCTAAGCTCCTGCTGTGTGCGAACGTAGAGCCAGATGTTAAGGTGACCCCCTTCCAGAGTCACAAGAACACACCTCTGTCAATTATTCATACAAATCTGCTCACACAGCAAAGTGCCTCCTGCTGGGCTCCATGCAGTAGATGGTTTTAGCACAACTTTCAAGAAACCAGACTAATAATAAAAAAGATTTATTGCAACTTTATGTGCTTTAAAAATACAAATGTAGAAAATCTGCCAAGCATTCGATTGTCTCCTTGGCTCAATGCTTTGTATAAACTGATTAGTATTGATTTAATCTGCAAATCTCTTGGGATATACAGTAAATCTACCAGCTTTTTACATTTAGAAACCCTAATTTTCCAATAGCCAGATTTTCTTTTAAAATAACACAAGCTCAGTCAGACAGGAGGAGCTCTTGCTGCATGATGAGGGTGTTTGTTCTGCCGTAAGTTCAGCCTCCGCTCTATTCTCTCTGGTTAAGTAAAAAAAGTAAAATATCTCTCAGGTAAAAAAAAAAAGCTGTCACATGTGGACGCACTGTATATACTGTAGATATCCCATGCACCTTTTTCTTCCTTTGGCGCCTTCTACTTCTCCTTTAACTATTTGAGCTGATGTAACAAGTTATTTCTCCATTGTGACATCAATAAAGGCGATCAATCAATCAAGTCTCATTCTCCCTACAATCTTTAACAGTTTTTCCATTGTAATTGCTTTGCATTAAGTCTAAATCTGCCTTCCAATTCTATATAGCTTCCATGTTCCTTTGTTTTTTTTTTACGTGACAAGATCAGCTTCACCTACATGTTTGTAAACCGCTGCTAGGTCCTTTCAGCCTCTTCTCTGCTTTTCTACAAAAAGCAGCTTAACATAATAGCTTTTATTTAGAGATTTACCAAAATTACAAAAAAAATGTACAACATACTTTTCATTTGTAAAACTTTTGATAACATGCATCATCTCTCATTTCACTTACAATAAATCTGTAATATATTCTCGATAGAATACATTGAAGTTACGTTGTGCTTGCTGCATAATAAAATGTGAAAAATGTTCAATGGGTATGAAATCATCACTGAGCTCTTTAAAATGACTTTGAAACCTACATTTATGTCTATAACAGCAAGCAGCAGTTTACATATTAAAACCATTCACAATAGGCACATTTCCAGATATACACTCACCGGCCACTTTATTAGGTACATCTGTCCAACTGCTCATTTACCCTTAATTTCTAAGCAGCCAATCACATGGCGGCAACTCAGTGCATTTAGGCATGTAGACATGGTCAAGACAATCTCCTGCAGTTCAAACCGAGCATCAGTATGGGGAAGAAAGGTGATTTGAGTGACTTTGACCGTGGCATGATTGTTGGTGCCAGAAGCGCTGGTCTGAGTATTTCAGAAACTGCTGATCTACTGGGATTTTCACGCACAACCATCTCTAGGGTTTACAGAGAATGGTCTGAAAAAGAAAAAACATCCAGTGAGTGGCAGTTCTGTGGGCGGAAATGCCTTGTTGATGCCAGAGGTCAGAGGAGAATGGCCAGACTGGTTCGAGCTGATAGAAGGGCAACAGTGACTCAAATAACCACCCGTTACAACCAAGGTGGGTAGAAGAGCATCTCTGAACGCACAGTACGTCGAACTTTGAGGCAGATGGGCTACAGCAGCAGAAGACCACACCGGGTGCCACTCCTTTCAGCTAAGAACAGGAAACTGAGGCTACAATTTGCACAAGCTCATGGAAATTGGACAATAGAAGATTGGAAAAACGTTGCCTGGTCTGATGAGTCTCGATTTCTGCTGCGACATTCGGATGGTAGGGTCAGAATTTGGCGTCTACAACATGAAAGCATGGATCCATCCTGCCTTGTATCAACTGTTCAGGCTGGTGGTGGTGGTGTCATGGTGTGGGGAATATTTTCTTGGCACTCTTTGGGCCCCTTGGTACCAATTGAGCATCGTTGCAACGCCACAGCCTACCTGAGTATTGTTGCTGACCATGTCCATCCCTTTATGACCACAATGTACCCAACTTCTGATGGCTACTTTCAGCAGGATAATGCGCCATGTCATAAAGCTGGAATCATCTCAGACTGGTTTCTTGAACATGACAATGAGTTCACTGTACTCAAATGGCCTCCACAGTCACCAGATCTCAATCCAATAGAGCATCTTTGGGATGTGGTGGAACGGGAGATTCGCATCATGGATGTGCAGCCGACAAATCTGCGGCAACTGTGTGATGCCATCATGTCAATATGGACCAAACTCCCTGAGGAATGCTTCCAGCACCTTGTTGAATCTAAGCCACCAAGAATTGAGGCAGTTCTGAAGGCAAAAGGGGGTCCAACCCGTTACTAGCATGGGGTACCTAATAAAGTGGCCGGTGAGTGTATATGCAAAATGAGCAGAATAAAAATTATGAATCAATAAAGTATTTTCTTGATCAGAGGAAATCATCTTCATAGGAAGACAAGATATAATAAACTGTAAATCTTTGGAGGTTTTCGATCACAGTTTCTGACTGCAGGAAACAGTCAGAGTGTAACAGGTGCGTCTCTGTTCCCATCTTAAGGTGAAGAGTGTTTGACGCTGGCTTTAAAGGGTCGCTGCCAGAACCAGCTGAAGCGTAGGCAGACAGGTCCACAGAGGCTGTTTGGTCCCAGACGGATGGCAGCTGGGACGCTGCGTGGTGGCACCGCTGGGAGCCGCCTGTTAGAACAAGCCATTGGAGGTTTCTGTGAGGTCCACTTTCTGCCCCTGGTGGTTGCCATCGGAGACAGCAGCATGTCACAGAGACTCAAATGTGTCGGTATGTATGCAGTCCTCCATCACCAGCAAAGCATTTCAAAAAGTCTTTTCTTAGTTTCTCTTATATCCTTTGCTTGAGGATGTGATAAAATAAGCATTTGCTTTTTTTTCTCTTTCTTTCACCTTAGCCTAAAATCACAAAGTCTAATTTTTTAGTAATGTCAAATCTTGCATTTTTACATGAAATTCCACAGACTCTAAATAAGGTGCATTACATTACACATGCATTTTCTTTCAGGACGTGCACTTTTAGGGTGTTGTGAGTGATCTGCGTGAATGTTAAGACATGCAAACCGGTTTTGTTCCATCCATTAAAATGAGAAAATTCTGCAGACTGTTTGAGAATGATGTAAAAGAAAGATGAGATTCGAAGCCATGTTTTTGAAGGTAATAAGGATTAAAAAAAAAGAAATTCTAACAATTCTTATTGTATAGTTTACTCTACCAAAGTGCAAAAAAAAAAAAGTAGAAAAAATAAAACATAACTGTGCTTTGTATACAGCAATGTCAAATCCAGGGAGAAAAAAAAAATCCCTGCCTCTAGGAGATAGGCACTTTCACCCTGCCTTCAAGTGTTTTTTCAAGCTCTTTTGTTAAATTTTTTATTTTTTATAAATTAAATTCCATTCAATTCAGTTTATTTCTATAGTGTCAATTCACAACACATGTCATCTCAAGGCACTTTCCAGTTCACTAGATCATCCAGTCAGAGTGATTCAAAGTTTTCAATCAAAGGAAAACCAGTTGATTGCCTCGACTCACTGACTCGAAGGCAATACCTCACACTAAACATGCTTATAGTGACAGTGGAGAGGAAAAACTCCCTTTTAACAGGAAGAAATCTCCAGCAGAACCAGGCTCAGTGTGAGCGGCCATTTGCTGAGGTTCAAGCACACATAGAAAGAGAAGCAGAGATACAAAAGGCAACTGTCAACCGGCTCTACAGGCAGCCAAGTCCAGGAAACACACAGCCAGGCAGAAGAGCTCCGAGCCAGCTCCCATGTCAGAGGATGAAGAGAGCACATCCAGTCAGTCACAGTCAGGAAAACAGGACTGCACTAAAAAACAGGCACAGCTAAAACATCTATAAACAAAGGTGCTGATGGCTGCAGCACAGCTGATATTTCTCTGCAGGAAGAAGTCACAGCCAAACAGGAACAGACCAGATAAGGCTACTATAAACATGCCACAATATTTAAGTTCAGTCTTTACTTTTTGTTTTTTTGATTTCGTTTAATTATATAATGACTGTCTGCTGAAAATCTGCATAAATTTTTCATGTAAGCATTCTTTAAAATCTGAAAATGTTTACCTGGGCACAGAATATCTCTGATTTGTCTGAGGATGTACCAATGTCCTCTTTGTGGCAACAATGACCAAAGATATTTCTACATGTGAATTTGCAGAAGACTTTCAGAAGTACTAAAAAAAGACAAAAAATTGCAGCTAAAGTGTACCAGTTTGGTGCATTTTCCTGGTAATTTCATATTCAGTCTAATAATAATGATAAGAAAAATAGAAGTTCAGAATAAACTCAACACTTTTAGGTTTTAAAAAACATAGTGAGAAGCAGTTTAAAAAAATAAAATACTATATACATTCCATAGCACCAGTTTATTCAAAATTCATGTATTGGAATTTATGAAGAAAATCTAACTTTTAATTACATGAAATTTTAATTCGAGTCTAATTATTTATGTGATATCCTTTAAAATACACCTGAATTCAGACTGAGTACAGTCAGTTAGGTTTGATGGCCACATTTAGTCATTCGTATAGTTTTACCTTTTGTATTGTTTTAGACTTTTAGCTTATGGTAGTTGCATTTATTTTAATGTCTGGTACAAGAAAATATGGAGACAACATGCAGAAAACTGATGCCAAAAAAGACCAGGACCTATCTAGGTGATTTAATGCAGCTTGAGGGTACTCTACCAGTAGGGTATACCAGTAAAGTACATTACAATGTAAATCACAGAAACCTAAGAACCAGAAAAGCAGGTCTTTTTTGCTACAAATATCAGGATATTAAGAATTTTAGGTGGTGGAAAGAGAGTATAGAAATGGGCACACTAAGACTGATCCTACCTGATATCAGGACGTAGTGAAGCCATGTGATGGCTTCCCGTTCCCAACGTCTCCTCCTTCTCCAACAGACAACCCAGAGTTTGCACGGTGTCCTCAGCAGCTGCCCATGAGCTCTCCCAGTCTGCCCGTCTCAAGCTGTGAGCTGAATAAGAACACCAGGCGCTGCCACCAGCAGCCTTTGGCCACACACCTGTCCTGTCGCCTTTATCAGACCTGTGACCATGCTGTGCTCATCTCAGGTTGGACCTTTTATTTGTTTCTTCCGTACCAATGATGACTATTTTCTGTGTTTGCAGAACTTCTCTACTGCACCAGTTTCTCTGGTTGCAGTAAATTTTCTATTTGCAGCACTTATACATCCGAACGTCAAAGATGATGTGCAAAGGCATCTGTGTGTTTGCACATCAGCATAGAAATCAGATTAAAAAGACAGCAATTCTCATTTATATCTGGCATTAGCTAAGACCCAACATTTCCTGTGTCGGGTCAGTAAAGCCAGACATACACTGTACGATTTTTCGCCCTTTTTGGGCCGATTTTCCAGTCGTGCGAGAATTTTGTACAGAGGGTAATGAGGTGCAATCAAGCTCTGACGACCACTTCCTAATCAGGAATCATAAGGTCAGGAGAAAATCAAAGATGTTTGAAATTCATTCGGCCGTCGTAAGGTGGTTGTGGACAAATCGCGGAGTTGCATGCAAGGATTCTACTTCTGCCTCTCAGATGAAAACACAGAAGCATGGCGGGGGGGCGAGTGAAATTAAGTTCTTTTTGTAAAATTGACAGACCGTAGTAGCCACGTTTGCTCAGCCATGTCTTTGTCCAAATATGTTATCACCTTTTCTTTTTAGGGCTTTCAGCACAAAAATTTTAAATATTGCCAAGGCAGCGCGTTTAACTCTAGTGAGCTTCATATTTACCAGGAGGCACCAACACTTCCGTCTTTTCCCTCTTCTACTTATTTTGCTTCCGGATAGACGAATCCGAGTAGCGCTATCTCTCTGCGGAGCTGATTCCACCGTGGTTTTTAGACGTACAGTGTGAGCAGGTAAATAGCTTCAGAGTCGCGTTGCACATTGTGAGAATATACATCGTGAGCTGTGAACTTTAAAACCCTGCAGTTTCGTTGTACAGTGTGAGCTGTAGCTGCGTGCAACGATTGAAAATATCGTACAGTGTATGAATCTAACTGTGTCTGTTGGTGTCTGTGTATGCAGGTGGATGGCAGCCTCAGATGACATTTCAGCATCACCTTCAGAATCTTCAAAGGTTCTACAGAGTGCTCCGAAATAACGGCTTCCATAAAGACCACATCAAGACTTTCTTCGCCAGCAGTGGACAGCTTCTTGGTAGAAAGTTACAGTCACTCAGAATTGTAGAAAATAATACTTTAAGGTGCAGTGCAGGTTGGGATAAAAAGCGGGATCTACGAGTGGACAGATCTTTTAAGTTGAAAGGGTGCTTACCCCTCTGAACACCAGAGGTTGAGGGGGGCTTTGTGGATCCTAGTGGGTTGGAGCCGAACTGCAACAGATCCCACTCTATAACGCAGTTATACAAAATATGCAGCATCTTGTTGAAAAAACTAAAGGACCATAGGTACCTTAAGAAGTATAGTCTGTAGAGAGCTGTTGCATCTCCAGTTGAGTTTGTTGTGTAGGTCCTCAAAGTATTTATACTCTTCTGCTACCTCTACTGCGTCTCCCATGATGTCAAGAGTTTTTTACTTGTTCCTGTTTCTCCTGAAATATGCTCTAATCTCCCTTGTTTTGTCAATATTCAGGATTAGATTACTCTTTCTATACCATGCAACAGTTGGGTTCACTAACTGAACTCAGCGTCTTGTCCATCTCTGATGCACCCAATGACTGTGGAGCCACCGAGTATTTCTGCAGATGACAGAACTCTGTCTTGTACTTAAAGTAAGAGGTGTAAAGAGTAAAAAGGAATATTGAGTGTACTGTCCCCTGTGGTGCTTCTGTGCTGCTGAATACGTGATTAGACGGTCTACCCTTCAGTCTAACAAACTGCAGTCTGTTTGTCAGCTAGTCTTCAGGTTTGTCAGGTAATTGCTGATGGCTCTACCTGAGTCTCCTGGAGGGTCTTACAAAAGTATGTCAGGCTGAATCCTGTTATATACATAAGAGATACAAAAGAATGTGATCCGCATGGTGCTTATCTAAATGACAGGGGGCTTGTTAAAGCAGGTGTTTGATGGCATCATCAACTCTAATTAAACAGTGATATGCAAACTGTAGGGGGTTGATAGCTGGTTTTTTTTTTACTTGTTGAGGTGAACAAACAGAACTCTCTCTGGGATTTCATGTTGTGGAAACAGGTCTATATTCACTGAGAACTGTTATTCAAGTCTTTTTTGGCACTGGAACAAGGCAGGAGGTCTTCCACATCACTGAAACTGTCTGCTGTGTCAGGCTAAGATTGAAGAGGTGCGTTAGAACCCCACAGGGCTGATTTGCACAGACCTTTAGGACTCAGGGGCTGAAACCATCAGGACCTAGTGGCTCCTCCACCTTTTTAATTAGAAAACAATTTTTGCTCCTCAATAATTGAATTAATAATTATATAAGCACAAAACAAATTTTTTATGGTTTACAATCCAACAGTTTAGGTGACTCAACCATCATATTTTTTTGGGAGTTATATTTCAGCTTTTTCTTTTTTAGAAACCCCTGATACTTCCTGAAATTTCTTTAAAACACTACTTCTATAGAAGTGTGAGCAGTATGTGAACTTAGCTATAGCGCAACTTATTCCTATTCCTAAATATGGTACAGACATATATATAGCAACAATCCATACAACATTGCCTGTAAACAGAAAATAAAGTTTCATTTGTAATTCTGACACAACTATGACAGTTGAAAAAATAAGCCACATGATGCGTTTATTGTAAATAAACTGCATACTTGTTTATTTTATCCTTTTTAGGTGGCACACAGTAATAGGAGACTGTGAACAGCACTGTCTATTACTTTATATTAGGTGTGTTAATAATCTCATCATCAGACTGTTGATTGCAGGACTAGATATTTTTGGCAGAAATAGAGGGCCCAAAAATCTAATTTTGCTTAGGGCCTCATGATTGCTTGGGCCACTCCTGGTCGGGGATAAGGTCCCGCAGCCATGTTTCAGTAAAACACTTAAGACTGCTTTGCTGATATTCTGGCTGGGTCTAAGCTAGGCTTTGCAGTTCTTCTAACTTGTTTCCTAAAGATTGTAAATTGCCTATAATAATTGATGAAAGAGATGGCTTGAATTTCCTGCTCCTCTCTATTCTCCATTTTCTTGTTCTGTATGCTCACCACCTCCTTTTCAATTCAGCTGGTACTTGCAAAAGTATTTGAAGTATTATTTTAGCTTTAGAGATCTTAATGAGTTGCTCCTTGGTGTAAAAAACTATTTGCTATAGCTGTACATCATCAAAAGCGACAAAAAAATAATTAAAAAAATATAGAATAAAATTCTGCCGAAATCCTTCTAGTTGCACAACATCAACCATCAGAGAAGAAAAATCATTGGAAAAATGAAACTTTGTTCCAACAATAGTTCTGTTAAAAAAGAATATCAGAATCCAGCTACCGTAGCCAGCAAAGCAGTGCAATCCTAGAATATAATAAAAGTTTGTTGCCTAATAAACATTAAATGTAAAACAACATCCATGTTCCTGGAATCTCACAGAATTTATTTCTGTAACAAAAAATGATTTTGGTTCATTAATATTAAAAAACCTTTGTTTTTTGTAAATATTTTGTCCTTTTGAAATGTTGGCTTCATTTTGGCTTGAACCATGTTTGATATATTATGTCACCGGGGAAATGTGTCGCAATGGATTTTTACTTTTATAGTTAAAATTAGATAACTCTAAAACCTTATAAAGTCCACGTTTGATATGTTAAACTTCAAGATTACATTAAATATAATAATTAGATAGTCTAGGAAACATCTCTAAAAAACATAAATAAATTAAGATATACAATTCAAAGATTTCTACTCCCATGTTTTTTAAATAAAAAGCTGCACTGGAATATAAGTCGTTTCAGTCAAATAATACATAAAGCTGAAAAAAAAAAAAAAGAAAAAAAAAAATATATATATATATATATATATATATATATATAAGTCGCAATTGACAGTAAATTTTATTTATTTAGAAATTTAAAAAGAGACTTTCGATCTGGAAAGCAATTTATTCAACTTATTAAAAAGCTATTCAATTTATTAACATACTATTAATTTATTAACTAAAATATTAACAGCTTTTTAGCTACATATCAACATGAAGAATGTACCTTAGAGGTTGAAGAAGCTAAATGAAAATAAAATCCAAGGATTCTAACAAGCAAGTCAACAGTCAGTAAATTCACCAAGCATTTAACTCATTCCACATCCCTACGTCTACTAAATTATTTATCCTCAATGTCGTCTGTCCATCTAGCTTTTAGTCTGCGGTTCAATTCAGTTTGTTTATTTAGCGTCAATTAATAACAGATATGATCTTAAAGCACAGAGAAAGGTCAATCGAGTCACAGAGTCCTTTGATTAAATTTTTTTTAAGACCCTTTATGACTAAAGCATCATTTAAGGAGCAGAATGATAACTCAGTAGTTCAGCGCCGCTGCATCGCCATGTTAAATGGGACCAATCTATCAATCAATCAAAGCGTTATATTCCAGATAGATTTTTGCAGATACTCGGAAGCAGCCGGCATCTAGACATAAATTTGAATTTGTATTTACTTGAATAGCTATGAAAGTCAGACATTTACAAAAGGAATAGGCTGTGGTTGCCCTTGTATGTCCGTAGTATTGATTTATATTGAATGAAACACTGAGCCAATTGAGTTAGTGTACAGGTGTGAAGTAAATGTAATGATGTAAGTTGCTGTATTTGTATTACTTGCCGTTTATGGAGTTTTTGTTTATTTTAGTGAAATTAATAATTTTTGCTTTAACCCCTGCTTTAAGGTAGCCTCGTGAGACCATCCTGATCTCGCAAGCTTTCAAGGTTTCACTCGCAGATCAGTCTGGCTACTTTCCGTTAAAGAAAATTTGGAGCCGTTCACCAAACTAACCTCCAATCAGCGTTGGCTTTGAGGCGGGTTGAGGTGTGACGCAACGAGAATCGCGACAGTTCAGTCTAAAGGACATGGCGGCTTCAGCCGAAGAAACTAGTGTTAGCGTGGCTATCAAGCAAGTTTTATCGGAATTACAGAGTATTTCTTCGCTGAAAGAAGAGCAAAACCCTGCTCTGGAGGCTTTTCTCAGAGGAAAGTTGTTTTTGCTCTTCTTCCAACTGGTTTCGGCAAGAGTAGCCTGGCTTGTGGTTGTGTTTTCGTCGTCACTCTGTTAGTACGTCATATGCTTCGTTGATCTGATTGGTTTATTTGACCCGTCTATCACCAACATAGGCCAATCAGCTAACCAGTATTTTCGCCCCTTCCCAAAATTACTTCAACGGAAGGTTTCCAGATGGATATGCAGAACAAATCCATCTGGCGGAGTCAGGTTAGCTTTAAGGAGACCTGGCTGACTGCATCGAGTCATTTGCAGGGTTCACTCCTCCTGGATGGGCATGTAGCGACAGTAGATATTCAATTGCAGCAATACCTTTCACAGGGCAGCAACAGTGGAGAGGAAATAAATCCCTTATAACAGGAAGAAAGCTCCTGTAGAACCAGACTCGGTTTGAGTGGCCCCCTCGGATTAGCTTTTCTCATTTTCTTCTTTGTAGCAAGCGTTACCTCTGCTTTTTGTTATAAGTTTCCCCCAGCCTCCAAAGCTTTTTTCTGTTCAATTACCATTTTTTGCTGCATATTACTTACTGCTACTACTTGCAGTTTGTAAGGTGCAGAACCGCAATGTATAACTTTTAAAGTGCCCTCTTGCGGAGGGATATGGGTAGGAATGTTTATTCCCTGCAAAGGTCTGTCACTTTGAATTAACTTAAAAACATGTTATACATTTGACGTGTATAGGATGTTGCTGCTGATCACAGCAACTCTAGTCATCTACAGCAGTACCAGTAGGTACTTCCATGTGCATTTCTGAAGCATCCAAGAAGCACGGCCCTCTTCTATAAGATAATTGGTTGTTAAATTTTTACTACTTGCTGCACCAATTTCAGGGAATCTAGAGCCGAGCAGATCATTCAGTCAGTAAGTTAGCTGATGGAAATCAAAGTGGATCCAGTTTACAAGTGAAAGGGTGCAGATTGAATTTTCTGGACCTCTTTGTAATGAAATAACAAAACCAAACTGTTCATGCATTTAAAATGTATGACCATAATAGATATTAGCACTAAACTAAAAAAAAAAACACAAAAAAACCCAGAAAAGATATACATTTGAACCCACTTAACCACCACATTTGTGTGAGAATTTTTTCTAAAATCTTTTTGCTGCTGTAAACACCAACATTTCCCTATTGTGGGACAATAAAGGTATTTTCTATTCTACCACCAAAGCCAAACCATGAATAAGACCTGATTTACCACCTCTTTTTCTGTTCTTTTATGTGTGCAGAAGATTTAGAGGGTGTGTACTCGGCAACAGAGAAAGCGGTGATCCGTAACCATGTGTCATACATTTGCCGGAAGCAGCACTGTGCCGACACTCTGGTTCTGTACCTGAACTCACCAACGCGCACCGATGGAACCATGCTGTTGTGGGACGCCAACCTGAATGGCATCGTAAGAGGAACACACAAACAAAAACACAGTTACACTACTTTATCACCATTGTAAAGGATGACTATGAGATGCCCAAGCAGGTTATTTACTATAAGAAAGCAGATATCATTAAAAAATAAGGATTTAGAATTCAATAGAGCTTCACAGTCGGCCTATGGAATCCTCTTTCATGTCAGCATCAAAAGCTGCTGGACGTTAGACACCTTCTAGTCACTCATACGAGTTTATGTCTGGAGACATGCTTGGCCAGAGTAGCACCTTTGCCATTAGATCCTTTAGGTAGGCAGTAGTTGTCTTACAGGTGAGCTTGGGGTTGTTATCTTGTTGGAATGCAGGCCTGCTGCCTATAGGAAGTAATGACGCTCAGCTTTAGTACATAAGTTAATATTGGGATTGATGGTTTCTGCACATCCCTGCAAATGCTGCATTAAATTTGGCAGCACTAATATCATTTAGAACCTAATAGAACCACTAGCACATGTATGCAGCTTATTTGGTTGACGAGGGCGAGGCCAGTTCTGCGTGGAACCTTTTCTGTTAAAGGAAAAGTCTGGTCAGATAATGGTTCATTATCTATACCTAAAACTAATATGTTCACGGTGATTTATTGAGTTTGCTTTAATCAATAAAAAAAAAAAAATTTTTGTCATGATCAGTGAGTCTGGGAGTGGCAATTTTTTCCCGAATATAGTAACCCCTCCCTCCTGCCATTTTCCGGCAGTGGTGTCACGGTGCGGTAAGCCTAGCGCCATTCTTCCCGCTTTACAAGCAAAATCAATGGGAACTACTAGACACATCTGCAATCAACAACAATTATTGAAGATTTCCAGAGGACTTCACCATTGAAATTAAAAAAGTATTTCACCTTTCTGATTCAAGACAGGTTCGTCATTGGATTTCCAACTTAAAGTGAGGATTTGCCATCGAACTTCTGGCCAGAGAAAAAAACACGTAATATGAAGCCAACATTTGGAAGAAGAATGTTTTCAAGATGACTTGGATAATAGCGCGTTGTGACAAACACCAGATACAGCACTGGGACTTGATCATCAGTTTCAGGGTTAAGGCAATCATCTCTTAGCTTAGACCATCTTTATCTAGAGCAATCAATTTTTCCTCAACATTATCAGAGAGTTATTGGCCATGTTAAACTTCCAGTAACTAGTATGAGAGAAAATTAGAAAGATGACACCTAATCTACCATGAAAGATAAATAAGGGGAAATGCCTACTTGAGCACAATTTAGACATTTTCACTTAGAGCTGTACTTTATTTGATAATGCCTGCATTTAGATATTCCAAAAAAGTAGAAAAAAACAATCCACTGGACTTTATTTACAAGTTTGAAGACGTTTCGCTTCCCATCCAGGGAGCTTTTTCTATTCAAAATGTCAGAAATAGCATTGAGTTCGAGATTTTATAAAGTTGACCAAAAGCAAAGCCTTGTTTTTGGCTTAGAAAACATGCAAATTGAAATGGACCAAAGAACCCCCTTTGAAATGGAGGTTGTTTGGTTATTTTGAAAGGACAGAAAATACACTTAAATTACACACGATGCACACAGATTCATTTACATTGCGCCATAGTTTAACATTTTCAGTGTTGTACCTTTGAAAAGATATAAACATATAACAAGATAATTAGGAGTGTGCTCACTTTTGTCAGGTATTATAAATGACTAATGATGTGACTAACAAAGGGGGCACTACAGAGGAGGAGTTGATTAAATCTATGCTGTGGAATTACTTTATAGAGAATGCCCCTCTTGTTGTCTTCAAGCATTTTTCCTAACCCTTTGCCGATAATCTCATGGGTTTTGAAAGGAAAAATCTTTTTGCATCTATAGTGATTACATTCTTTAGGACTCTAAAAAAAATTATTTTATACGATGAGAGTTGTCATTGAGATGCCAACGTCTCCTCTTATGGTGCACTCTAACCATTTTGTCTTCTTGGTGTTTTCTTAACCCTTGTTAAGGTTTCTATTCTGGTTGTTTTTCCAAAATCCATTTTCTCTCTGCGCAGGCTGACCTAAAGGAACGCTACTCGGTGAGTGAGCTGCTGGCAGATCTGGCCGGCTGCAGGGCAGTTCGTGTCCTCCTGTTTGTAGATCAGAGCTATAGTGGAGTCCTGTCCAAGAGGCTAAGGAGTTCCCAGAAGCACTACAATGTGGTCCTGATCCAGCATCAGTCCAGACAGATCCAGACTTATCAGAACCACAGACTATTCCCTGGCTGGGATGATAGCAGCTGGTCCTCTATAAGTGCTTCTACATGCCTATTAGACCACTTGGAGAAGGTAAGTTTTCATTTACCAGCATTTTGTTTTGGATTTTTCTTGGTCTTTTGATGCTTCATCAGATCTCTTCTCTTACACCATTTTTCTGTTTTTTTCTAGATTGATGGAATGTCTCACCTCTTGGAGCCATGGGCTGGCCTTTTAAATGTGACGTTGGCAGGAGCGCCATGCAATGCCACCCCTCCTCTTACAGACAGTGAAATGCGGCGGGAGTATCAGGGTTGCCAGAACCTGCCAACTGCTCTGTGGTACCAGAAACATGGGAGGACCAACTGAGTGAGACCAACAAAGACTTATCCAGAAAGGACAGGCGGAGATGTATTAACTCCAGTCTTGAATTTCTTCCACTGCTTGTGACTGGGGGTGGGTTTGAGGGTGGGGCTCTAGTGTGTTGCAAATTCAGTTTACTGTGTTAGACACTGCTGTGTGTTTATTTTATGAATTAAGTCTACTGTGAATGCACACCGTCTCAGTGGGATGTCCTGAACACCATGTGACTTCTATGTGTGTGTATTTGTTTAAGTGTGTGTCCATGAGTTCAGCAAAAGGACAGTCTATCTCAAGGGCCAGCACTGGGTTTACTTTATGGTCAAAGTATTTGTTTGTGAGTGTACAACACATCTCCTGAGCACTTTAAGATCCAGTCGTAAGCCTATTTTCCTCCCCACACCAGTCTCCTTTCAGGGTCTTATTTTAATCTTATTTTCCTTTTCTGAATGCAATTCACATTGTTTGAATTCTTCTACTTGCCACCGTGCCTTCATTTTGATTTCTCATATTTTTCTTACTTCTTTTGCAAAACACAACACAATTTTTTTTGTGACCTTGGCTAATTGATCTTACAAAAACAATCTTTAAAATGTTATAAACATTTTAGATTCTTAGCAGGGGTTTTAAAGCATTCACCTTATTTCTCTTCACTATATAAACGTCTGTACACAAAAAACAGCAAAAGAACAAAGCACAACCTTTACACAATAATATATACCATGAAGTAGTCAATTGTTGATTGTGAGTTTAGTAACATGACTGTGTAGATTCTACAGGTTGTATTGGTTCAGATAACATTGTTAATCATCCAGTAGTATACACAACCTAATCATTAACAATGGTGGTCTGTTTTAGGCTGTAAACTGGGAGGGCACAGCTTTTCTGCTGTTTAATAATTGTAACAATTACAGACAGGAATATATCACTGGACACTTATGGCCCTTTCAGTATGTGACACATACATCGCTGCACTCTAAACCTCATTATTTTTAATGACTCGGGTAATGCCAGGGGGGTTCATCGCTGTGGCAAGCAAAGACAAGTGCAGTGCACCCCTTTAGAAGATCGTATGCTCAACACAGCCAAAGTTTGACATACCGGTAGTTCAACTCTGACCATAATGAGCAGTGGCGATTGCAATAAAATCTGGACCATTTGGAAATGAAGAAAAAGCTAGTACTATTTTTGTTTAAACCGAGCTCTGAACCAGTTTTCTTGCCAAAATGGATGAAAGAATACACATACAGTAAGTCACAGTAAAAGCAGAGCCCAAAGCCATGGAGAAAAAGGAATACACACTGAAAAAACAGGTTCAGCTCTATCATCAATAATTGGAGGTGTTTTTGGCAGCAACCCAGCTAATAGTCTCCTCAAGGACGGAGTCACAGCCAAACAGGACCAGAGCAGATAAGGCTATTAGGACAAGATAAGCAGAGAGTACATAAATCAAGTGGTTGAACTAACAAATACTACAGAATTGGAGAACAGAGACAGAATGAAGCAGAATAATGAAAAGTTGTCCCCATGTCCTCCAGCAGTCTAACCCAAAAATTTCCCATCCTCTGGTTTTTCTCCGATTACATATGTCAGACAGAGTAACTGCATAGTTGCGTCCACCGCCGTGCTCTCCATACTTCATCGTCAAAATACTGAGCTACTCGTATTTTCTGTTCTCTCCAGTCTGCTTGACTCTGCCTGGTCCTCTCACAAATGCCATGTTCTGAACTCAAATAACATGTAGTGAAGCTAAGCTGCGTTACAGCAGATACAGTTTACATTGCTTTTGCACAGAGGCGGTCTGCAACTGACCTGACACGGATAGGTGTGGAGAATAAGGAATCTGGGCATATGCTATAGCAGCATAGTTATAGAGAAAGCTCCTCAATCTGCTCTCTGGAACTAAGGGTTTCAAACGTCCACAGCCTCTTCTTCCTTGTTGTTCTTTTTCTTCTGTTTAGAATGGGATAGCACTTTGTGGCTGATGACAAACAAACACCCCATGGGTGGCCTGCTGTACTGAAGAGCCAGACAGAATTTAGTGTTACACACATGAGGATCTGCAATAAAGGAGTGTTTAGATATTAAAATGGAAAAGACAACACAAGGTTTGGTGAGGTACATTTTGCAACATGTAAGTTGAATTTTCACTTAAATGAGTGAATCTGCATCAACTGCAGTTAATGACTGCTTTTTTCCAGGCTGGGCCTTACTTATGACTTTAGAGATATATCTCACCAGTTTCTGCTGTTTTTTGTTTGCAGTGTCCTGAGTCTGATATTTTCCTCTTCGAGGCCAAGAACCAATTTTCACAACAATTCCTAGCAGAGGGTGTCTCATTTCCTCTTCAAAGTTACCAAAGTTGACAGTAATTGTAGGATGAATTTTAATCTTTGCTCCACCTCTTTAAAACAGTTTGCTTCTATCATACTTTGAAACAATAAGTCTTAAATTCCCTCTGAAGCTGCTTTGATCTCCACATGACTACGTATATTTAAATGTTGTAGTGCAAAAGCATGTGAATCATGCTTAGAAGTCTAATTACTTTGCACTTTTTTAATGTCTTTTTTCCACTACTGCTGTTCCCTGAGGAAAAATAGAATTAAATCAAGGATAATTCAGGATAAAAATACTTCAGGATTAAATTAACAAAGTTCTCACACATAGCTTGTGTTTTTTTTAAGCTCACAATAGACACTTATTTTTCTTGCGCTCCAACAGAAGCTATGCTTACAAGCAAAAAAATGTTATAACTGATTTAAAATATAATGTATCTGATTATACCTTTTATATGGACAGAAGTATTTAGAATATACAGTGGATCGGACTAAAAAGGTGTAATGTAAACAAGCTAATCAGGACATGGTGATAACAGTGAGCCAGAGCGACCCAGCTTTATTTAGAGGGACTTAATCATGTCAAGAGTTTATATGCATGTCAATCAGATTGTCAATCAGCGTAAACCACCCCTCTCAGTTGCATTATGATTTCATTCCAATCTTGCCAAATCATTAAATATTCCAACTCGACATGTTTACATGAGACATTTTTATTCTGATTGGTCGCTGATTCTGATTATTTATGTCTATATAATCAAGCTAATGTCAGAAATTTCCCTTATTCTCTCTCATAGTGCCTAACACTTCGCCGTTGGCACAGCTATCATACCTACAGATCCTGCGCAGCTCGTTCTTTAGTTACCAGTGGTTGCAAGATGGTACACCTTGATTAAGTGACCAGCCTATCAAAAGGCAACACAGAGACACACAGTAGAAATAACAATGCCCCGTCTCTGACTGAAGAACATGCAGAGTGGTATGTCAATCTAGAGTAGTAGCCATTCAACATTTCCCCACTTTCCTTGGCTGGTCCCCTACAACTCCTTTTTAAACAGCAATATTTATACTAAAATATTCTCTCTGTCATGATTTGTGGACATTAAGATCTAAAGAAAGGCGTTATCTTCTGGTCAGACCCTGTAATTCAGTGAAAGGGTGGAGTCACAGTAAAAAAAATATGGAAGAGGAGGTCGTTGGAGGGAAGTGGGCTGCCATTCGGCTGGCGTTTGACTGGGAACGGCCATTTTGAATGGCTGCTACTGTAACTATTATGTGTTTGGATTGTTGGACATGTTCTCTTTGTTCTCACTGGGAAAACATAGAAGCTCCATTAACCAAGACCCAGGCAGTGATTTAAACCCAGGATCTTCTTGTTGATGAGCAGCTTGGGTTTCTTTAATTATGCTGTAGTTTTGCAAGGGTTTGTCGGTATTAATTCTAACAGGGTTATATTCACTCCACTAACAGCCAATTGATCAACCTACAGTAGAAGCATATAATAAAAAAGCATCTTAGATAAATTCCCTTGATAACTATGAAGTGAGTTTGTAGACCCCTCTTCATAATTTATCATTAAAAAAATGATTTTACTGTTAACTGTAGCTCAGCATCAATTGCTGTTTTCCATAAAGGTTCAGAAGATGTTTATATAAATTTATTTTACCAGCTCATAACTGTTCATCATTGTGACATCTGTTAGAAACCTTACTTTCCAGCAAAACAATAAACCACCACATGTCAAATTTTCGGGTTTGGGCATGCAGAAATGTTTTTTGAGCATTAGTTTAATTTATTTATAAAGATCTGATTTATAAATAATAAAATACAGGTTTACAACAAAGCTGAAACGGGAGGAAAAACATCAGATTTTCAGCTATTTCCATGTTGGGCCCAACCTCTTATGTCAAATCTGCCAGAAATATTTTGCTGTAAATGCTGTAAAACATGCAGACAATATGTTTAGTGTCAAGTTTTTACTTTTAGTTGAGATTTTTTTTTTGTTGTTTTTGCTGGAAGCCAACTTTTCTGTCAGTATGAAAGGTGAATTCATCAGATCATAGACTGCTTTAATAGCAACCCGTGGTTTCATTTTACGACAGGGCATGGTGGAAGCTGTTTAGTACACATGGCATCAAATCTCATCGACCTTTTTAAGTTTCTGTTATAATCTGAACAAAGAAATGATCTAACTTTTATTGATCTGGAAATGTTTTAATCCAACACAACTCAAAAAATAAGCAAAAGTTCCAAACCACTTGGAGTTAGGAGGGTCCAGTTGGACATAATGATGGAGAATGACAAACTATTGCTGCAATTATAACAGCTGAACAATAGACCCTCCTGTAGAACAGTAGGTTTTACATTTAATCATATTATTTCAAAAACACATTATGCTGTTCTTCACACTTATAATATGCATCATGTTTTGTCCAGTGACATTGTCTAAGTGTAAAACGTTAGCCCATTGAGCACATCCTGTTGTCTTTTCTCCTTGCTATGTTGCACAGATGTGTTGTAGAAATGTAACACTGGATGTTTTCTTCAATGAAAAAATAGAGAATGATGAAAGGAAGAAAAACTTCTAAAAGCAGAACAAAGACAATGAGGTCCAGATTTCAGTTTCCGTGATCATCAGTGCAGAGTGTGTGACTTGTAAATTAGATGAAATGTTTCCAGCTGCATGCAATAAATAACCAAGTAAAAATCAATAAAGTGATTAAACTGGAGACTTCTTGTCTGCTTTGTACCCTTAAACAACAGTCTAAATGAACACAGATCCAAAGCATTCATGACCATTTCAGTGTCTTGCTCCAGGGCAACTTTGCATATGCAGAGGTAGTGGATTAAACCTCCAGACCTTCCACTGGCTGACCACCTCAGCAACAGCTTACCCAATACCAGGACTGGTTAACCTTAGGATGTAGTCTGGTTCCGTAACTTGCTCAATTATTTTAGAAGTATAATAGTGAGGTTTATATACATTTCGTCAAAATAAAAATAGTTTTTATTAGTTTAAGTTTAAATAATGACAGCGTAAAATACTTCTGAATGAAACCTAAAGATTCTAACATCATAGTAGGGTACACACTATATTGCTAATACTGCTGGGTTTACATCTCAAATGATTGTTGTTGTAGGAAACATATCCATAACTGCAGGTGTATAAAATCCAGCATTTAGTCCTTCAGAATGGCTCTACAAACATGGGTCGCTGACAGGAACTCAGCAAATTTTAGAGTAGGACAGTGACAGGATAGCAACCATAGAATAGAATAGAACAGAAAATCCATTTATTGTCCCACAATGGGGAATTTCTGGTGTTTACAGCAGCAAAAAGATTATAGAAAAATGGTCACACAAATGTGGACCTTAGAAAAATGTATAAGAATAACATAATAGTGAAGAGTTAAAAGATAAACAATGAAATACTGTACTGTAAAGTTTTTTAATAATATAAAACTGTGCACCTGGAAAATAAATAACAAATATACAGCTATGGACATTTTTACATTAATGGCTATTTGAAAATAGCAGCAACATCAGAGATGTGCAAAATGACAGCAGCATGTTATTTTACTGATTAAGATAGAAACTGTGCGAAAATCAGCATGAATGTAGCAACTTATTTTGGAACAATGATGGTTATAAAGATTTACAGATGCTGGGAGTAAGGATCTGTGATAACGCTCCCTGGTGCATTTAGGGTGCAGCAGTCTGCCACTGAAGGAGCTCTCCAGTTACTCCAGTG